TGCTGATTAGAAATTGAGCTTCCCGGTCTTTCATCATTTAGATCAGGCGTTTCCGCCATTCTATTGGGGTCAGGCGTGCCTGTATATTCGCTGTTCTCCTCCTCCATTAATTGCGCTTCTTCCAGGAGGTGAGGAGGCAACGAGGGCAATGACTTGTCCAGCTTCGCATTCGGCCCTGCTGGTTTTTTCCCACTAGTGCCGCCGGCTTTCCTTTTTCTTCTTCGTGCCATTAGCGATTCGTGACATTCCATGCAGAAAATACCCTGCGAAGTGCGCGCATAGCGCAAGTTCTCAATCTTTCGTTTGCAGTTCCGGCATCGGAAGCATTGAGCGCAGAAAGCCTGGTCTCCCGTCAAAATGGCCAAGTCTTCGATCTTGTTGTTGCAAGAGCTACAACTGTATGTGCAGTTACTACATATAAGTGATCCATCACCCAAAAGGAGGAGGTGCGCGTCCGAGTCGAGCAGAGTGCTGCATGTACTGCATCGGAAACAGTCGATGTGCCATCGGTTTCCAGCTGCCAAAGGTTAGCGACATAAGAAAATGGTGAAAAAGACCGCAGCTATTGGACATACCAAGCTCAAACGCTTTTCCTTCTTCAAGAGTCTGCCAGGACGGTTAGTCAAGTTCTTGTCCGCCTGCTCCACCTTGTGCCTACCTCTCCACAGCCCTTGCACGGGTAGGACTCGTCCTGCTCCATAGGAGACTCCATGTAAGCGCCCTGGTTCTCCATGGCGAGATCCACTGTATAACGCGCAAGACGCAAGGTCGACTATGGCCGTATATAATCGATGCGAATATAAGCCTGGCGGGGAGGGCGCAGACTAAGTCCAAATTTGTGTATACGAGCGATTCGTGATCGCTACGGAAGATCTCACTTGTCGTCACATGCGCTGTCGCTGCTGGTTCCTTTAATGTAGTCCTTGCCAAGCGCAACCCGTGTTGAAAGCCGGAATTGGGGAGATGGGGACGTTCGGTGCGAGTTTGGAGGGATGAGGTGCAACAGGGGGGCTAAAAGAACGGCGAATGGTGGCTGAACCTGCAGACTACCGAGGAGTTAAAAAAAAAAAAAAAACGTGATCCAACACCAGTTTTAAGCGTAAGACAGTAAGACATCAGTCCTCCCAAATGAATCCTGAACCAAGACAGGGCAGGGTCGATCATGTATGGGGCGGGTCGGACCAGGGTGATAGGGACGGCAATTATTTGCCTACGAACCGGGAATCAAGGGTATCAATCTCTCGACGTACCAGGTACTGCTCGGCGTGCTACAGATGTGTTTCAGGTAGATAATCGCGGGTGTTGTGACCGTTAAGCGCAACAGGCGAAGCGAAACGGGGATTGCCCCTCGCGGGCGTTGGATTTCGAGATTGGACAGACGAAGGAAGCCCCGAGGCGAAAGGAAACGAAATCCGGGAGTAGAGACGATAATTAAAAGGAAAAAGAAAAGAAAAAGGAATGAAACATGAGAGTTGGATTAGGGGGTGTGTGGAGGGATGAGAAAGGAGAGGCTAGAAGGTGAAGGCTTTCTGCCACCAAATGATTTTCCCCACGTAAACTTACGAATATCATTGATCTGATTTAATTACTCTCTACCAATACGGAGTCACTAACTAGTTACTTTCTTTTCCCTTCTGCCTACGGAGTACTCCGTACATACTATATTGTAGGTAAATGCCCAACCTATTCTCGTCTACCTTACTCCGTACTTATACCGTACCTTTGACGCGCGCCCAGAAACGTGCGGACCTTCATTTCCCCATACAATGACCAATGAGGTTTCTGATACCCCTGAATTTGGTCCAATCTACTTTAATCTCCGTCAAAATTATACTAATAAAGTCGGTAATCTCACATATTATTATACCCTCCCAACAATCTCAATCCAATCAAAACGGCTACCGGCTGAGAAAAGAGGCCCAAGCAATCTTTCAGCTCCTCCTGAGCTTCCCATCATAGACATTCCACTTCCACTATGGACGAAGGATTGCTCCATAGCCCCATTGTTTTGACCACGGTACGGCTATTTAGTCTCAAACACTTCTCCCACACTTCTCACACATACTATTTCCGGACTATGGTCCTTCAATTTCAGCCCTGTACAGCGTGGTTTCAAAATAATCTGGAGTGCGGCTGAAGTCAATCTCATACAAGTCTGTGGATACAAGTATAGTTATGGAGTATTCCGTACGGAGTATCCAGTACATAAAGGGTTTAATAATATTTCCAGACTGAATTGCAGAAAACACAGCCTTAAGTGGCAGTGCCTACTCTACCCCTGGTCCTTCATATCTCAGCTCAGACCTCCCGCGCTGTTTGGAAATTGTGAAACGGCTTGTCGTGTCACGTGGAAGCCCGTCAGATTCAAGGGGAGCGGCTTGCGCATAACAGCTAACTATTCTTTGGCTGGATTTGCTAAATGTCGGATATTTGATCTTCTTTTGCTGCCCGAAGGTGGCATATTGTTACATAAGGTTGTTCTACCCTTTCCTTTCACGATACTATGTACGGAGTACTTCTAAGCCGGTGCTCTACACATTTATCTATTAATAGCCGGACTTATCCTTTCGCACACGACTCCGGAGAATTGAAGGAGATTAAGTGATTGCCCAATATATGTATTATGATTTGTCTTAGTGCGTGTCAGACCTACTTGTCATTTGAGATTGTGGTATACTATCCAATCCCTTTTCTTAAAAAATGACTTTTTTTTCGATCTGGACGCGTAAAACAACAGCCTCGCCAATGAAATACATGATAGGCAATATCCTAAATATCGGTGTGTATTTCATACTCCGTATGTTGTACCCCCCCTAGTGAATTCTGTCAATGTGGATCATGCATATACTTTTAAGTTAGTAAACTTGGCGTTTTATTTCATCCCAATACAATGTTCTTCTTACTAAACATCTTATAAATTGGTGTATATGGTATATGAAATACAGTGCGCTAGCAAAGATTAGCGTAGACTTGGCGGTTCCACATTGACAGAATTCTGACTAGGGTGGTAGTGGCCAATGATACACGGGGTCCACTTACAATTATCAATCTATCTGGTACTCCGTCCATAGATCTGGCAGATGGGTACTCTACATCAAATGATAAACCATACGCACAGTTCATATAATATACAGAAACTGAAATACTATCAACCATCTATTCATAACGTTAGCAATAACATACAATATTAATACACAAAACGGTCGACAATACTAATAGATTGTACATGCCTTGACCACATAATAGATCTGACGGATCGGCGCCAAGATTGGGGTTTATACGCGGCAGCCCATAACTTCTTCTCTTCTTACGTTCTAGGCATTTTGGACCTTGCAAATCCAGCCGTTAATTGACATTCATGAAATTCATGCCCCAACATGGAAAGTCAACATCAAAACATTTAGGAAGTAAGGAGTCCCAGCCCCGATGATCCACAATCATGTACTGATGAGTTACTAATGGGCTTACAATATAGAATCTGTCATAAAAAGTGCGACGAGGCTCTCCCAGCATGTCGAAATTGCACGAGCACCGGTTGAAAATGCGATGGCTATGCGCAGGTGCCCGATAAGAGGACCTGAGCCTGGCGTAAAGCCGAGAAGCCCCATTCAGGCGATCAGACTGCAATGTCTGGGCATAAAGAATATAAAGCCCCACACACCCCTTCTGGAAACACTATGGTTCGTCTGGTCGATCCAAGTCAGGCCCATCGCAACTGAACAGAGCGCTGGTACTTGGACTACTTCCGCAAAAGTACGGCAGTCCAATGCATGCGTTACTTTGAAGATCCATTCTGGGGTCAGTTCGTGCATCAGATGTGCGAAGAACATCCTACAGCCCGTCATGCGGAAATGGCAATAGGTGCTCGGCATAGTCAATTTGAAGAGGTTGAAATAAAACAAATTGTCGATCCAGAAAGCCTGTTAGCTCATACCCATTCTGCTAAGGCGATTACCTACCTCCGGGGTAATCTTGTCCGGGAGTAGCCGAGTCGCATCCACAGAGAAGTAGTGCTCGTGATATACGTTGCTATGACGATGCTAGCTCTCTTCCAAGAGGATGTCTTTGCCTCTCGCTGCCATTTTCTATCTAAGTATAGGTTGTTCGAGGAATGGACGAGATAGTTGGTGATGAGCAATCTATGGTAGATTACTGCTGTATGTGGGGAAAAAGCAAAGCAAGAATTCTTATTTGGTAAAACTAGAAATGCAGGGGTTTATATACCCTGCAAACCATCTGAACATTGCTCAATTGTAGCAAACAACAAATAGCAAATAGCAAACAATATTACTTATAGGATCGAAGGTACTATATATATAATGAAGATCTACTATATAAGATATATCTTCGTAGGTATATAGAAGAGGTTTATCGCCTTAGTACTAAACGGAATTACTACACTAAAGAAGATACGGGATCGGATATTAATACCGATTAATTAGGAGGCTTATAGGTATTCTATCAAATTGAAGTACTCTATTTTGTCTATGCTTAGATATAATCAACCTCGGATCCGGATAAGATTTTCCGTGATAGTGCTCATTCTCCAACTTCTTCAACTAGAGATAAGTTCTATTTGATATATACTCGTCGCATTAGAAACCCCTTATGGCAATGTTAACCTTCCTATCTACAGCAGTATTCATGGACGTAAAAGAACAGACCCATAATACGATAGGTTTTGGAGACAACGACAGCGCCCCGACGCTGAAGAGTAGTGAGCATGTCTAGGTTCATAATATCAACAGGCTATTTAATGTTTCCCTTTTTACATTATTGAGAAGCTGTCTTTCTGGATTTAATGCGCGTGGGCAGTCGAGCTTACTCAGTCGACTTTGGTTATCAGCTTCTCGCTTGCATCGCCAGATGCACGATTTGAGAAGGAACAATTGTTACGTAGGATATAGACAGATGTTCAGTATCAGCGTCTTATTGCATAGCCAGAAGAGTGCCAAAGTGAGCTCGTTAGCGAAGGCACCCATACCTCTTCCGTTGGAAGGCTAATTAATGGTCTTGCAACCACAAGTTCGGGCCGATGCAATATCGAATTGGTTCAAGGATCTTCCAAGTGAATCAGAGGTGTCGCCACTATGAGCAAGCTGTACCAAATAAAGCTCACCCTCCAACGCGCTGATTCGCGCGCGCAGCCCTGCGATCACCTTATCCTTTTCCGTGCCTGACTTTAGGAGGACGGCATATTGTACCTGCAATCTCCGATGATGACAGGATAACATGCGAAAGCATTGCTCATATTGCGACGAGAAAAGAGTGGATGATCCACATGCCAGAGCCGTACTGCGTGTTTCCTACAACGTGTGGCGAGGACGAGAGTCAGTGTACATACAAGTGAGCGAAAAGCCGAGGCGACTTAACAGCAGAAAAGTTGAATTGTATCGCTATAGGTGGGCTTAGCATACCTGTGCACTCTGACTTGAGGTCAAGCTCTCGGTTCTACCAGTACAGGTGACCCCAATTCGAGAAGCCAAATTGGTTATCTGGGGGTTTCCATCCACGGCAATTTCCGATGGTAATGTCATGTTGAGGGTCTCGCTTGATGTAATTCTCCTAATTTCCTGCTATAAAGTAATTAGGCATACGTGCTCCAGTGAGATAATGATCGGGGTCTGAAATACCTTCTTCATTTCAGTTGGGCGAGGTTTCATAGCTTCCATCGTCCAAAATGCTGGAGTAAATTTATTTCACTTCCTTTACCTCTTTCCTGATCCTAGAGGTCCCCACAAGATTACGCAGGTTTCACGAATGAGATTCTTCGCTCGACTACTTAATAACCAAGTGGAATATAGGCTGCTGTGAATATACGTCATTCGCAATTTCACATCGAAGTCCGACTTTTCTTATCGGGGAAATTCGGCTTTAGCGCTCGCCACGGATATGTCGGGATAGAGGATTAACACTTTATCATGACTTACATTCACCACAGTACCGGCAGGACTCTTGAAGTTGTTGCCAAGAAGGCCAAGTTCGCCGTCAGGTAGCCCAACAATCAGGTAAGCTCGCATCTTCGTGCATCAGAAATGCGGCGAGGATTTCATGGGTGGAGGCTTCATGCGGAAAGCGATCGACAAATACCATTACCCAATACCCATTGCAAGAAAGAATGGTGCTGTGATGGAATACTGTAGGAAACTTAGCCAAGCAATTTTTTTTTCATCTCTCGCCTCATCGGAGTTGATCGGATATCAACGGACTTGTCACCACTCAAGCTTGAACAAGGTTTTAATATCTCCGAATCTAGTTCGGCTTTGAAAAACCAGATCTCCGAGTATGACCCCGATGGCTGCGGCATTCAGTCGGATTCGGATCTTCAGATCAGCATATATAAACTGGTTTCTACCCTTTGAAAACCACTTTTCATTCAACTTAGCTTTTCTTTACCCACTTCTGACAACTCCGTCGACGCCACGATGGCATTCATCATTCAGTATCGGCAATTACATCAATCTGTCAGAGAGCAGCTGCAAGATGTGCAGCATACGAGCGAAAAGTCGACGAGTAAATCTCCATCTCCTTTGTGCGATTCGTCAGTCAAATTGAACGAAAATAACAAACACTACTACTCCAAGATTCCAGGTATCTCGACGCAAGTGGACCAAAATGGCAACCAATACTTCCAAGTCGGCTGGGCCACTCCCCAGGATCCTTTTTGTCCCCAGCAATGGCCAACTGCCCGCCGAGTCTTGGCCACTTTGTCAGTATGTCTCATCGCGCTTGTAACCACAATGGCCTCCGCAATTGATTCGGCAGTCATAAAACCGGCATCTCTGGAATTTGGTGTCTCTGAAGTGACGGAATCTCTTGCTACTGGCCTCTACCTAATCGGATTTGGTGTTGGAGCTCTCATAGCTAGCCCACTGTCTGAAATGATTGGTCGGTACCCTGTCTACGTCGGAGCACTAATAATTTTTGGCGGTTGGATCCTTGGCGCAGCGTTGACGCCAAACATTGGAGGACAATTTGTGTTTCGCTTTCTTGCTGGAGTGTGTGGTGCTGCGCCCTTGACTGTTGCTGGAGGCTCAATTTCTGATATCTGGAATGCGCTCGAAAAAACATTCGGGTTTCCCATCTTCGCTATCCCAGCTTTCGGTGGGCCTATACTAGGTATGATGATATGATGTTCTACTAAACCGATCCACAAAGCTAACACGTCTGTTGTGCAGGACCCGTGGTTGGAGCGTACATTGGATATAGCCCGCATATCAACTGGAGATGGTCGGAATGGATTATTCTCATCTTCAATGGCTTCACAATTTGTGTGATCTTCTTATTCAAACGAGAAACATTTGGACCGCAGCTCCTCTATTACAAAGCTCGTTTTTTCCGGGGAGAGACAGGCGATAATAGGTTCATGACTAAAGAGGAAGCATCAGGCAATGAACACATTGTGCTAGTGTTAAAAAGGCATTTTTCCCGGCCGTGGATCCTCCTCGCGGAGCCAATTGTTATCTGCCTTACCTTCTATCTGACCGTGGTTTATATCGTTCTTTTTACCTTCTTGGATGGGTATGTTCCCGTCATTTGATGCTTCAAGCCATGTGTTGCTAACCATAGCCACAGTTATCCATTTATCTTTGGTCAGACGTATAGCATCAATGATGGCCTAGTCAACACCTGCTTCATTGGCCTTTTCATCGGTAACCTGTTAGCCATGGCTTTGGTGCCGTTCAGTTACTATCGAACCGCCAGCCAGCTGAGACGCGACGGCGATGATGGTTCAGGCGAAAAATTGGATCAAGAATCCCGCCTGTTATTCGCCTTTTGTGGGGCTCCTGCTGTGCCCATAGGACTGTTCTGGATGGGTTGGACTGCTTATGTAAGTATTATCCTTGTGTTAGTTACCATTTTCATCACACGTGGCTTACAAGTCTCTGTCTTAACAGCCAACAGTACCGATCTGGTCGCCTCTCGCGGCTTCTATCCTGGTTGGATTTGGCGTCATATGCATATTCTTATCTGCATATATGTACACCATCGATTCCTATGGCCAATACGCCGCATCGGCATTGACATTTATCGCTCTTGTGCGGTATCTCGCCGCAGGTGGAATGGCTGTTGCCGGAATTCCCATGTACCAAAACCTCGGAGTGCATTGGACGCTGACGATCCTAGGGATCATTAGCACGGTAGCAATGCCTATTCCTTACGCACTCTCGCGATGGGGGCCTTCACTTCGACGGAAAAGCAAGTGGGCGGTGGGCAAGAATCTGTGACCGATTCTTCTCTATCGCGTTGTTGAGGAATTTTTGACTAGAATCAGAACATCGCCGCAGGTCTGTGGAGGCGAAAAAAAATGCATACACAGAGGACTCCGGGGAAATGTGAAATGGGTTGGTTTTGCATCGTCAGCTAAAGAAGAGAGCATTGAATAACGATCCGTCAATTTGGTTGTAAAACAGCATGCGCTTGGGCACCCAGTATCCTCCCTTAGACACCATTGTTTCTATGACTGGCATGAATATCATCTTCATTTAAAACACCATCCCAAAAGTTCTATTCGAAATTCGTTAATGTTTACTGCTTCCAACGCATAAGCTGGTGTTCGAAGCACTTACCCAGTCTATGGAGTCGGGGTTAAACCACTGTACAGAATCGATCCAGTTATCGAACGTGTTACCAAATTCGGCACCTGCTGGGTTAGACAATTGAAAGCTTTTCGGAGAGAGCAATGTTCTGGTTTCGGCCCACAGTTAGTAAGCTCCGCCAATCTACGTATCTCTGAAAGCTGGCAAAGAGGCACGTACTGTAAATGGCGAAGAATAGGATAGGCCTTTTTGCAGATTGGACTTCGATCCTGGAGTTTCTCAAAACGGACCAAGGCAGAATCAAATGCCGCACGATACGGTACAGACTCAAGAGTCTTGTCCGACCAGTCGAGCAGGCATGATGCCAGTGCTACTGCTCCGTGGAGTGCATAAGAGCTCATCATGCCGTACACATTCCAACGATAACATCGCAGTCGTGGAAGCTCGCAGAACTGCTGGTGAAAATCCAACATCGCAGTACTTGAGAGAATACATTTTGACCTTGATTCAGGCCGGAAATTGTGTTTAGATCGGCAAAAAGGTGTGTGAATCAGAAGGTATAGCTGATGCGCATACAGCTGAAGAATAGCCCAAAAAGCGTAGCTGGATGTATCAAGAATGCTCGGGCGACCCCCCGACAAAAGGGTAGAATCCCATTTTCGTTGCTCGACAGCAATCTCTGCGTCTAACCGCCCTAGGGTCGTTTTATCAAGTTTGGGTGGATCAGATAGGTAGTCACAAACACGGGTTGACAGCTGGAACAGCCGCAACTTGAATATCATGACAGACATCTGGGTCGGTTGACTAGACGATCGAACAACAATGTGTTCATGGATGTCTTTATCGTTGACATCTGCTGGCATCACAGCGGGAATGTTCATCAGCCATGACGTTTCAACGTCCTGAAATATAATGGCTTGATAAGTGTGAAGTAGCAAGATACCGGCCCAGCATCGCCTGCGCCGTTCCACTTCAACACAGTTGAGTTCTGTCTGTTTAGAGTCCACATGACATCGCTGTGCAATGCCGATATTCAAAGCCATGCCTGCAACCTATATTAGATCCTGCGCGTGAAAACGATACCATCCTGCTTACCAAGTAATACCCAGCATCTGTCCACTCCTTCGTCATGGCTGATGGTGTATATCAATATTAACAGTGCCTCAAGCGTGCTCAGCCGGTGGTTTGTGAGAAAGTTGTCCTGAGCCAAGCAAACCATGGCTTCCGTCCGAAATTTGCGCGAGAGTGTGCCAGTTTCCAGGGTACTGTGCTCGGGCCAAAGCTCAGCTAGCATGGTATCGTCATTTTCCATGGTATGCAGCGTGATAGACATAACCAGGAATAGAAGGGCCAGCCAGGAAAGATCAACTCCGGTTGGGTCGTCCCTGAATACGTAATACTGATGCTCAAAAGTTGGACCGTGTAAGACATGGAAGAGCGGAGAAAGGTGCGTAAAGTATCGAGTAATGAGGTATTCGCAGCAGGGCCATGGGGGTAAATTGGAGAGCATGTCTCCAGCCGGGAGCCGAGGACCTATCGTAAATGGAAAGCAGGAACTGCGGACCTGAGCGATAGAGCCTCGCTGCTCAGATGCTGTAGGGTCCGTGTGGTGCATTGGCCTTTCAAGAACGGCATTCCAATGAGCATGTGTGAACTCAGAACACTCTTGCCCTGTGTTTGTGGCAGTAGATGCATCCATATCTAGTAAGCCCCGACTGTGGTTCCCTAACTCAGAGATAGGCGGTACATCTTCGCGGCTGCCGTGTCGCGATGAGTAGGAGGGCAATCGTGGTGCTCCCGAACCTGTTTGTGTATGACCGCCACGAACTGCATCGGCTTGGCTCCTATAAGTACAAGATGGCTCACAATCGCGATGCTTGCACGAAGAACACGGCGCTTGACGATCGCAGCGAAGCTTTGAACGCCGACATGGCTCACAACTGTATATTTTGCGTGGTCGCCGCAGGTCCCCTGATTGGTAAGAAGCCATGTGATCGGATCTAGCCAAAAAAAGGAAAGGTTTAGATAGTCGGACATGTTCGGCTTTAATGTTCATAGTCAACGGGATAAAGTTTTCAAATGACGTAATCAACCAGTGACTGACCCGTCACTTCTTGGCTAAAGCCGAAAACAAATCCGATTGCTTTAAGCTGTTGCGGTCCTAATACGATGGTTTTGGATTTGTAAGTTTAGTCTGTCTGTTCGGCAAGAGGGTAAAATGTGAGATTTGACCCAAAGTGTATGCATCTAGAATAATTTATGAACCTGTGGAGGGAATGAACATCATATGCCCTGATCTTGCCTCTTCAGCTTCATCGCATAAGCTGGAAGCCCTTGACCGAGGTTACGTGGGGAGTCGACTGGAAATACAATATCAAGGTTGCTGTCCACGACACATATCATCCTTGACATGCCCCCGTAGAATTCCACACACATTGATGAATACAAACTCTTTTAATACTCCGTTTCCGGGTGCTTTCCCTTGTTATTCGGTCTCACAGTAAATGCGGGATGCGTGGATGTTAGTCCTCAATATACACAAGTATTCCCCAAAACACGTGCCGTCGAACATATATGTATATTAGGACCTTAAGGGAGAGAACCAACCTTGAAGAGCAATTTAGGTCTAGCGGCGCTCTGAACTACATAGACTTCGGCACGACCCACTATAACCCGAACCCAACCCAACCCAACCCAACCCAACCCAAAATGGGTTTTGGGTCCATTGGTTCGACCCAACAATGGGTTTTGGGTTATTACCTATAACCCAAAACCCATTAGGTAACCCATTGGGGCCCCAATATAGAGCAAACCAGCCAAACAGCCTTCTAGCATATAGGTGTATAAATAATGCATTTTTTGCTTATAATATTTAGTTATTTAGTATTTTGTTTATAGATAGGTCTTCTAGGATAAATAAGGATAAATTGGATAATTATATTAGGGTATATTTCTCTAATATTGCGAACCATCTCAAAGGTTTCGTAGCCGCGGACCAAGGGGACCGCAAGGACAGAAGCAAAGGCAAACGGCCCCTAGGCGGGGCTCAAAGTTCACCCGTAAGAGATGGGATCATGTGCAATAGAGATACATGGAGAGATACAAGGGAAGATATATAGTTGTAGGTAGCCTGCATATCGCTTTAGTGCGAGGTGTCAGGGTAAATGAAAGCATCCATCCATCCATCCAGACTGTACCAGTTACTCGTTATAACCTAACACCAGAGTTCAGCAAACCGCCTTTACACTCAAACAGCCCTCCTACCCCGTCAAAAACCATGCTAGATCAGATTATCAAAGGATGCGCCGAGACGGTGCATAACGCAGCGCTACTAGCACAAGAAAACGCCAGAAACGCACAGCGTCGAATCGGCAGATACCACTTAGGGAGGTCTATCGGTTGAAGAAGGCCTACAGCTAGTTCAGCAGCTAAATCAGCCAGTTGAGTGTCGCCAGGGCAGGGCCATTTGGCGATTCAGCAAGATCAACAGGCAACGGGGACTCAGCCAAGGGGTAGTGGATGCAGCCACAGGATCAATTCATGTAAAAATCGCTATATTTAATTCAACTTAGGTGTTTTGGTTAAGATATCCCAATTCAAAATTTTCTCATGGGGATAGGTGACCGGCTCGACCGTGGATTAAGTTACGTTACGTTATGGAGGCAGGCTGATTAATGCCAAACCATCGGCAATTCAGATAATCCATATCCGACACTGGATTTGATTCCGACAGATTTCATTCTGTTCTTTTGTTTATTTTGCCCTGTTTACATATGTTCTTGGGCGGCCAATCAGGGAATTGCGCTGCAACCAACAAAACTATTCGTTCAGTGAGTCGGCAACTGCCCTGTAAGATGTCAGCAGGCCTGATGGTGCTGAGAGCGCTCCCGCATTGCAGCATGTATATAGAGCGAGATACATCGGGCAAACGAATTCATCATCGTCAAAAAAGAGATTTGTGTGTTTATGTCACTATACCTTCGTTTTTTTTTTCATTTTTCAATTGTCCATTTCCCCCGGACGAAGGACTGTGCGAAGGCGGTATGCCACCCTGGTTTTGGGAAACGACGGCATCTCTCCGCTGCAACTTTACGGAGCTGTCGGCAGGCAAACAGGAGCGGCAATAGCCTACAGGCCTAGCGACCCCGCAAAGCGCTGGTCTTACTCCATCTCCAGACCATAATGAGACGCTTAGCGAGTTCGAAGGTGTTTGGCTGCGCGGCATAACGCCGAGCTAAGCAGGACATACCTATTTCCCCGCATTTTGGACAACCAGGACCTCCATCATAGCGGTTTCAATTAGGAGATTCCATTCGAAGAACGACGTCCGAGTCGAAGTCCGCCATTCTTCTTGAGTTGACAGGCCTTTCGGTGTATAAAAGCAATCTCATCTCCCATCCGTCTAGAAGTCTCAGAATAAACCGGTGCTCCAAACTACCGATCCCAGTATCGCCATCCTCATCTTTATTTACCCTCGAAGGACACGTGTTCACCTCACTGCGGTTAAAACAAAGAAATGCCTCTTCCTACTCACCTTCCGTCCTCTGGTGACCCTAACGGCCGACCGATTCCCGCGGATATTACACTGAAAAATCGCAAATCCCAAGATCCAGCAAAGATCTTATTCAAAAATGTTAAGATTCTGGACTCAACTGGGAGAGACCCTTACCTTGGCGACGTTCTTGTAGATGGGGAACTCATCTCCCATGTGGGCAAAATTGATGAGTCTCTTCTCCGCCATGAAGATACCCTGGTCATTGATGGCCGAGGAAAGAAAACATTGATGTCTGGTCTCTGTGATTCCCACACCCATCTCAGCTGGAACAACTCCCCTACAATGGAAGGTCTCACGAGTCTTCCTATCGAAGAACATGTTCTTCATACGGCAAACTCGGCCAAAATGTACCTCGACTGTGGCTACACGATGTGCTTTGGTGCTGCCGCTGCGCAGCCGCGCCTTGATATTGTTGTTAAGGCTGCTGTCCAGTCCGGCATGATAGAAGGCCCACGTATTTTGGCAAATGGTCAAGAGATCTCGACAACCGGCGGAGCCATTGTCCCAAAGGTGACAAAATTTGCAGATGGAGTGGATGGAATGCGCCGCGCTGTTCGCGAATTCTGCTACCTCGGAGCCGACAATCTTAAAATAAGCATGACAGGAGATGAATTCCATGACACTATGCGTGCGGAGACTACCTATATCACGCAGGAGGAAACTACTGCGGCTGTGGAGGAAGCACACGGTCGCGGTAAACGCGTTTGCGCACACGCAAGATCAAATGAATCCGTGAAAAAATGTTGCCGTGCCGGCGTTGACGTCATTTACCACGCTTCCTTCGCAGATGACGAAGCGATAAAAATGGTTGCTGGTATGAAAGATCGTGTTTTCATTTCTCCTGCGATCAACTTTCCTTGGGCAAGTGCAAGTGGTGAAGCTACACCTTACGGTTTGACTATCGATATGGCTATCAAGAAAGGTCTAAAGCGCGAAGTTGAAATCGCCGCGGAGACCATGCAGAAAATGCACGCCAAAGGCATTCGCATTCTGCCAGGAGGTGACTATGGCTTCGCCTGGGCCCCACATGGTACTTACTCTCGAGACTTGGTCCATTTCGTCAACATGTTTGGGTTCACGCCTATGGAAAGTATCATTGCAGCAACGGCATGGGGTGGTGAAATCATGGGTCATCCAGATGTCTTGGGCAAAGTTCTTCCTGGATATTACGCCGATCTTATATTGGTCGATGGTGATCCCCTTGAAGATCTGAGCTTGTTACAGGACACCAAGAACATACATGCTATCGTCATCAATGGTCATGTCCACAAGAACAGCGAGCATAGAGCCGAGTTCGCCTGCTCATCCAAAATTATACGCCTTGAAAAGAGCGTACTCAGCGGCGAAATGAAGGCCAAGGTTTTCCCGGATGAGGTTTTGAAACTGCATGATGCACCTGTCAATGGACGATAGGAACCCCCACACTACTTCGCATGGATTGTTTCAGTGGGTGTGATGTCGTGAAACCTGGACACTATAAGTAAGCTGCGATTTTCGGAGCATTGATACTCTCCTTTCGACCTTGCTGCGAGATATGGATTATGTTGCTATGGCATCTCCGAACTGGCTTTTATTTCCCTCTTTGATGCTAATGGCTGAAATTGTAACTAAAAAAAAAATGTACGGTTTATATTAAGGACAGTTAAAACCTTTTTTGCCTCCCATTTCAAAGGGAGCGTTCTACTAATTGTGTTGTATCCTTGTTACCTGATACTGTTACCCCTTTGATACTCGAGATTCAGGAAACTAGACTTGCAAGTAACCAATAAACCATGGGATTTTATACAAATGGTTCCTCAATCATTGCCACTTTCGGGTGCTATCCAATAATCCGTAACGGGTGCATTATGACTCCCAATATCCATCATCAGCATCCAGCTCCCGTCGTCATGCATGTTCTCAGTAAGCCAGTGCATAGGAGTTTCAACAGCCCCTGTAAGGTCTTCACTCCTTGGATAATAAGTGGCAGAGCTATCCGGCATTTCAGAAATCAACGACCCCAGCGGCCCCAAATTGTTCGCATCACCCACTGGAGCGTCCATCCTAGAATTTTCCACCATAGGGCCCATTGAAGTTGCATAAGCTGAGCAACTGTGATAAGGAAAAGCCAGGTTTTGCCTGTCCTCCCCATCTGTATCCTTTGCGGCATGTGCCAAAGCCACTCTTTTTTCCGTGTCTGCCTCTGCCCCTACGACACGTCGTTGAGCATTGTCGGCGGGTGATGGGGTCGAATGAGAGACGTACCCATATTGACGGTCAGCCTCGGGCATATCCTCCATTGTAGAAGATCGCGGACTATGAAAAGTCCTCTGAAGAAGATGTTCTAGAACATTCGCACTCCGAGCAGCGGATGGTGTGCTCCAAGCTTGCCGAAGCATTTTCAACCCAAAAGCAAGTCTGCTGCTTGCTTCATCTGCGAGTTGCTTATCAAATTTTGCACCTGTCACACTTGTTTGCCCCGCGCTGGCCGCACTTGAAGGTGCGCGGTTTTCATATAAGTCGACAACGTTGATTGTACATGCAACGAATAAAGTGTATGATTGAAGGTAGGTCAGATAGCGAAATCCAAAGCGTCGCATGTGCATGGTGAAAAGCGTGTCAATCATTTTGGCCGACTTGATACACAACTCCATGGCTCGAGTACAGACACTCTGGTACGGTCCTAGTAACAATGCTATTAGCAATGGGGATGTCCAACAAGCCCGAAATGTATCTTGTCGAATAGTGCTGGGTTCCAAACTTACGACAAAGCAGTATGATTGTTGCCTGATGGACAAGACTAGGGGGATTTTTCGTCAACTATAAGGCCCTATCTAAACTTGTCCCCCTTGGCTCGAGTTACATACTTTAACAAAAGGATGTGTGACGGGGGGCATGTAGCAGCACCGGTTTCATGCTGTATGAGAAGCCCGTCTGGTAATTTGGAGGACCAATTTCGTAATTTCTGCAACGTAGTGTCGAGGTATCCCAGCAGTTGAGGTCGCTGGGTATTTCGAGGTCTTAGGTATAACATGTCCAGTATGTCGGAAACAATCTTAAGAGTTATTTAGAGTTAGTCCAATTTCTCCAACCACATTCCCGTGTAGCCTACCACATAAAGCTCACAGTAAGCTGCAAACCGTGCCGCACTTAGCGTTGGTTGAGTGATCAGACCCGGAGGGCCGTGTCTCTCTTCGCTAGGTGGTTTCCACGGCTCTTGATCAGTTTCCCTTCCATCGACCAAACAGTCTGGAGTAGGTATCTCGATATAGTCGTGAATAATTGGCGCTCGCCCAAGACAGAGACTCATTGATTTGTCCCATGTGTAACAGCTCCAGAAGAGTTGCTGGCGTAGGGACAAGTGCTCTTTGGTGTACTGGCGAGCAAGGGGGCCAAGTTTCTTTTGAGATACATGCAACCCCAAATCGCGCATCATCCGGAACGCTATTCCTGAGAAAAGCCAGCCTTGTGAGATTCGGCCACAGGCACACTCTCGTGATGAAAGGATCAGTAGGCCTTGTATCGCTGTGAAACTACTGCCACGATCGATTTCTTTTGGTAACAGTTGCAAAGCACGGCTTGCGAAGTGGTTTCCAACCTGCGTAGCATCCGGATGATCAGAATATCGCGCGGCCTGAGCTAGTACAGTACTCAGTAGGAATGGTGTCGCATAATGCCCTAATACGGGTAGATCTCCTGATGACCGTCAGTGCCTCGAAAAAAAAAACCTTCAGGTTAACACACATACTTAAAAACACGCTTTTACAGAGAACCAAATGAAAATGATGAGGGAAGCACCAGTAGACCCCCAAAAGCTCGTTCTGTAGATCCGATGATATTTCTGACGCGATGAAGTTCTCGGCAGATCCAATCGGTGCGGCTGGAAAATCTGTCTTCGGAAACCCCGGCTCATCAATTTGATTGTGAGTTTCCACCGACAGCTCTAACGTATCTTCAGACTGGGGTTCGACATGGTACAAGCTAGTAGGGCCGTAGAAACAAACCCGACCCGTACTGTCAACAGATGCTTCCGAATAGGGGTCAATACTTCCTGCTGGGAGCTCGTTTAGTCTCTCCTCGGGAGCTTTATCACGGTCGTTTTCGATGATTTCTTCATCCATAGGCGAATCTCTTGACAGTGATCGGCCAGGGTTGTTAGCAATCACAGGCTGGTCAAGTAAAAATTCTCTTTCAGATGTAGAAGCATTTCGGAGCTCCTCAAAGCGAGCTTGGTACGCTTTGAGCTGATTCTGAATCGCGACAGTATACGCAACTGATGGCCTGTGGTGATTTTCGTTAGTAGTGGTTTGTATCAAGAATTGGACACACAACTTTTCATATGAACATCTTTCCCTTCGCAAGGTGCACGCATTGCAGGAAGGAAATTCGCCACTACATTTGGCCTTGCGCTTTCTGCAGCTCGAGCACGCGAAGCCGTAACGGCGGTGTGGTGCTTTCTCTTTCCGACGATTTTGAATCGATACCGGTGGCTCCTCCATTAATTGCTCTGCAGGTTGGCCAGCTACAGCGTCGGACATTTTAACAGTACACTTCCGTCTGGCTGTTTTACAGCGATTATGCTTAGAAAGAGAAGTCGCAGAAGTCCTGAGAGCAGATGTATCACGAGAGCGGGGAGTTAGCGGATCACTCCATCTTTGCTTTTGTCAGGATTTTAGTGCGTCCCAACAAGTACCAAACTTCCGAAAACTAACCAAGTGGACAGAAATGAGCCATTTAAGTGCGGGGTGGCGGTGATCACCAGCAGCCCTATGAATCCCCGCACTGCGGCTTTTTGGAGGGTCATCATGAAACCACCTGGGCAGGGAACTAAAGGCAATCAGGTAGAGAGGCCTAGACAAAATAGGTCAGGAATAGGCTCGGTTCCCTTTGGGCGTTGATAATACTTTGCTGATGATACATCTATGGTCCTCTTCACTGAATGGATATAAAAGGTCCCAACAACAAATGTAGCTTCCTCGATCCACATAACAAGCCAGCTTAAATGAAAGATGGGTAACTGGAATGGGAACATATGGACATGCGCGAACCTGAGCTTATGTTGTTTCTGTTTCGTAGGTCCCCATTTAGCTGTAAATTATATGGTACAAATTTATGTGTAGTTATGGCTTCCAAATAACAAGATCAATCAAAATTATCGAACATGCCAGCAACATATTCACTGTATGACAGCACAAATGCAGAAGCCACCGTCACAGCAGCTGGACCATGAACGAGCAATCCAGGCGCACGAGTTGAAATCTGCATATTCAAATTGATTGGCACAGCTTCCAGACCGAATGAACTCAGCACGACTCGCATATGATGCTCCGCGGCAAGATCTCCACAATAGCTTGTGGGCACATTTGAAACTTTGGCAATGCTAATAACAGCAGAAAACGGGTAGTGGTTGACTGGGGGGGAACATCGCAAAGTCTTTTAAACAAGGATATCGCTCACGCGCGTCTTGAGCAGTGGCCGTTCCACTCCACACTTGATATCCTATGTCCCCTCCACCAAGGGAAGAGAACCCGAACAGAGAAATACCACATGGCATTGTCGTTTGTTTCTGGAGACTTAAAAATGTTTTAATTGCACCGCGTCGTGCCACAAACCCGTCTGGGTTGTCAACAGCAAAGGCTAGGCCTAGTGATGGCAGGTTGGGATCGGTACCTGGCCGGGTAAGATATATATTTCCCACGTTATCGTGCTACCGGAGAAACGTGAGTGTTAAATTAAATATCTCTAAAAAAAGCAATACGAATCATACCTGGAATTCAAAACCCTCTGACTGTGCGAAGTCCCTTAGTGCATGTCGCAGATTTAAATTTAGCGAACGCGGGGACGCAGAAATCATTCCGAGTCCCTCAAGCTCCACCACAAGCTGTTCAAATCCATTCATTATGACGTGCCAAATCTCGAGTACCTGTAGTGCATAAAGCATTTACAGTCAACGGTCTTTTTATACTGCTGGCCGGTTACAAATTGGAGGAAGAGGCACCGGGTTTACCGGATAGATGCCGTGGTCTCCACATAGCGGGGTTAGTTGAAAAGGAAAGGTCGAACGGAGACATGCCGGACAACTCTAAATGTAGCTTAAAGCGTATTGTATACCAGGTAAGGCACTGAAATAGGAAACCGAGTAGCCGGTTAGCCGGGTATTAGGAACATCTGGAGGTGACAATTAATTCTGAGACTTACAGACAAATAGGAAGTGAAAACGCCTTCATACACTCAATGACCTAACAACTCTTGAAGAGTAGCGGACGTCGTGTTTCTAATTGAATCTTCTGTCTGAAACCCCTATGATAGCGGTCTAGAATGCGGTGAAGTGCCATGACCTATAAGTGGAAGCACAAATGCCGCAGTTTCCACTTACAACTTCCCAGTTTCTGTACCGGCATTTAAGCGCAAGGCTAGAACCGAGAAATACCGGCAGGGCACGACGTCTTGTTTTCCGCGTTCGTACTTAGCTAAGCTTTGTTTATCGCTTCAAGTATAAAATCGGGCACACATGCCAGCCATACAGCCAAGGTATAGAAAATCTTTCCCTGTGCAGCTAAGGTCTTTCAATTTCACTCATCTCTATCTACCGCAAAATGGACTCTACTCAATTTGGAATCCTCGGTCTGGGAAACATGGGTTCCCAGATTGCGATGAATCTGTCAAACTACGCCGAACACCACGGTTTTCCGCCAGTTAAGTTGTGGAACCGGACCAGAGGAAAAGCTGCTCAGGTTGCGCGTGGAGTGAGGTGTGAGATGGCTGAAACTCCGGAAGAGATAATTGAGAATTGCGACATTGTTCATACTTGTCTGGCAAATGACGAAGTCGCTCTTTGTCTATTCCGACAGTGCTTCCGCAGCTCAGGTGCGAAGGGCACCATTGTTGTGGATCATTCTACATTGTACCCTTTAACGGCTTCGGCTTTGCAGAAGGAGGCTTCTCAGGCGGGTGTTTACTATCTGTCATGTCCTGTGTTTGGACCTCCAGCAGCAGCACAGGCAGCAGGGCTACTCGTGGTCTTGAGTGGTGACCCAGGAGCCAAAGATACTGTGAAGGGCTACATTGTCCCTGCTATTGCGAAAGCGTTTATGGATGTGGGCTTAGAAGCTAGCAAAGGAGTGTTGCTGAAGCTTCTTGGCAACACCTGCATTCTTGGAACTATTGAACTCCTTTCCGAAACTTTCACATTGGCCGAGAAAAATGGCTTCGACGCTGGTGTTCTTTATCAGTTTATCGGTACGTGAGAACAGGCCTATTGCTTTTATCAGGTTGTTCGCTTACTAACTATGAGAATAGAAGCGTGGTTTCCCGCTCCTGCCTGGATCAATTACGGGAAGAAGATCCGAGATGGATCCTTCGAAGGAGAAATGGGCTTCAAGATAGATGGTGGAATGAAAGATGCGTCTTTCATCAGACGGATGGGGGCTGAATCCAGTACACCAACCCCTATCATCGATCAAGCCTGGAATCATCTTACAACGGCAAAGGCTCTTGGTGGTTCAACTCTTGATTGGAGTTCATGCTCAGCTGGTATGCGCGTAACTGCCGGCCTTGAGCCGTTCAAAGAACAAGGGACTACCCCACCACATGGTTCTAAGGCGAATGCGACGAAGGATTCCTAGGCTTTCAGGCTTCCCGAAAGAACGCAGAATAGGCCACATCCTATGACTAGTTGATCACTACATTAGGCGCTCAATTCTGATACTATTATTCAGTTACTGCAATTGTGAGATATTTGTGTCTTCTTTTGAGTGATTTTTCAATCCTTGGTATACCATTCAAGTACAAATTTTCGATATAAATGAGTTAAACTTCACTAAGTACAAAGAGTGGTCTTTACGGAACATGGTACTTCAAAATACTTGTTTAGCAACGAAAGTATTCTACAAACTTTCACCATAGTGCTGTCATAATCGAAAAGAAAGAAAAGCACAGAAACAAATAAAACGCTAGCTACGGTGGTGGTAGGCATATCTATGGTTTTCTATGGTTCGGTAAAAATAGAACACTTGCTGCCAAGCACGACTCTAGCTGATCTGCATAAGCTTGCCCTGATACGTAGTATAACGTAGGCTATAGCATGTACCTGCTCCTCACTTGATCCTACCTGTATCTTTGGCTATACATATAATGATGATTCACCTCCAGTCTCCTTCAAGGGCGGCTTTGAAATATGGCTCCGCAAATCATAGAGATATATTATAGTTTGAACCAACAAGTAGGTGCATACCTTGCACTCAACGCTACTTCCTTTTTGTTTATTTTTTTAAAAAGAAATGTAGACTAATTTGTCTCTGCTTCTCATCTATTCCGGCAAACTGATCTGGCCGAAACCAGAAGGGGAGAGAGAGAGAAGGAAGTGAGATTGATTCTCTGACTGACAGAGGCTAGCTAATATACTCACTAGTTAGCTAGCAAACAATGGAGGCCTGACACCTGACAAACCAGGCATTAGCCAGGCTACCATAACACAAACTAACTATGTACGGCGCTGCGAATTATCTCCGCGCACCCCGTTGGTCTCTCCAGCGGATACCAATGCCCCACGCCATCCCAAGATATGAAACTCACAGCACAACTCGGCTCCAGTGCCTGCTTTATAGAAGAGCAGATCTCCGGCCTCGAGACCTTGTCTAAGTTGCCGCTAACAATGGTTGTGGGTGCCCTGATGGCATCCCACTGTGGCTCAACAGAATTTGAGAGGGCCAAGCAGGCCAGTGCATAGCCCTCCGGCGGTTGTCGGCATAGTAGCTCGCGACCCAGCGCTGCAACCTCAGGCTTACTGGTCAAAAATCCAGGCGGAAAGGAATTTCCGAGGACAGTGTCAACCACTTCAGTCATGCCATAACGACGGACGGCGTCGGCTCGCGCCGCCGCGCCTTGTCGACCAAACTCCGGCGGCGGTCTCAAAGGCCCGAATAGAACGAGCGAATCAACATGCTCCGGGTGCTTTGCAGCTAGGTTCATTGCCACCAAGCCTCCAAGCGAGTGGGCGACCACGGTCACATGTTTTAAAGAAAGGTGCGTGATGATTGCTTTGGAGCACGTTGGCACACGGCCTAATTAGCGAAACGGGACATTTTCAGGCAATACTAACCAAGGACATCATCAACATAGCTGTCGATACTTGTAGACTTTGGAACCGCACTCCGTCCATGCCCAGCCCAATCAAAGCGAACAATATTGAAGTCACATAATGACACCATCAAAGGCTGGTACAGGTTCACAGTTCCTCCAAGGCCGTGGATGAACAGAATGGTTGGACCCGAATGGTTTCCTTCCTGCTCATAGTAAAGTTGCCCAGCCTTAGTCGAGACTGTTCCGTACGACAAAGGGGGTGCCATGTTTCACAATAAGAACAAAATTCAGCGTACACGCTTATGAGATGAATGAGGCCCACTGAGAGAAAATTAGGAAAGGAAACAAAGCAGAAACGTCCATGCAAGGGAATTTATTATAGCAAGCACCGCCTGCAATCTTACAGGATACTAGAGATGGGAAATTGTCAAGCACGGCAACATTGCGATTCTTTGTGTAAATTATCCCCTTAACAAACGGCTTCTTGCCGGCCATAGTTCGGACTTTTCCGGGGGTTTACTGAGAAGAAAAGAAAGAAAGAAAGAAAGAAAGAAAGAAAAGCGGAGCAAACAACTAACAGTAGAATATATCTACGTAACTACTGCATCATATCCTCAAATAGTCGCTTCATTACCTCTTTCGCATCCAGAAGCAGCCTTTGACATTCAGCCCAGCTCTCGAACTGTCCATTGGGAAACATCTGTGTTATGATGGCTCGCGAGGTGGATCTCTAGCCATGTCCGGACCAATACCTGCACGAGTCGGTGCATATTAAATGACGCTGTTTCAAGTTCGACCCGAACAAGCGAATAACTGATCAATGGCGCCACTGCATCTTCAAACTGGAGCCCATCCCCATCGGCACGGACCCCTTCTGAGATCCCCTACCGATCAAACATGCTCATTAACGCCAGTAAATCCGTCGCCGCCGGCCGGTCATGGCGGATTTGCTCGAAGGATAGTTGACATGTGATAGGGACCCCGCCTGAGTAATTGCCAGCGGAATATATTCAAGTGCCTGCGCCAGTGCCTTCCCGTCCTCTCCAGACTCTCCAGAATCGCCAGATTGGGGGGCCGGAACCCTTGCCCGTAAAAGGGCGGGGGACTACCTCATTCATGGCACCGTCACAATACCCGCCTAAGAGACCCCCTTTAAAAAAGATTTCGTCGAGGTAGTTATCGGGTTGCTCTTAGCGCGGATTAGGTAGTAATCTCTACCGGTGTCGATAAAACCGATAAGATTAATATAGTTTAGGATACTATCGTAGAGTCCCTAGCTAAGTTCGCATTAGTTATAGGCCTTAACTATAGGCGCCTACGAAGAAGTTTATAGCTTTTATAAGGGTATTTAGGACTTCGCGTCTATCGTTCCTCTATCGGTCGGCTTCGGTATTTATAGCCCCGATACCTACTACGAAGGGTAATAGCGACGTATTAGTACCTATTCTAAGGATTAGAGGCGGAGGCGGTAGGTGACTCTACGCGTCCTTTTGCCTCGTTATAGCACAAAGGTTAGAAGGAGTTCCGGGTTCTTAGGGCCGCGTGAAGTCGGCCGAGCGGTCGTCTACAACTAGACGAGGGGGGGGTTATAAACCTCTATGACGCAGCGACGAAGTCGGGAAACAACGTGCTGAGTGGATTGGGGGCTCTAGAAAGTATAAAAGAACTGAAATTGAGTCCAGCAAGGTCCAAAATGAAAGGTACCCACCCCTAGGTCGCAAATAGTTGTAAAGGTGCGGGGGGCTCTCGAGAGGAGGCGGGGGAATATTGAAGCCAACCAACTCAAGCCGCTAAGAACAAATAACTGACGCTGTAATCCATGAGCGTATCTTTGGAATGCCAGTATAATGCAAGATGTTCACTCGAAATCCACGCATTGTACATCATCTCCGGAGATCATTCGCCGCTCCCGCTTTCTCCCCACTTTTAAAAAATTACGAATCAGCGTTGCCCCTCGATCCTCACTTCTTTCATATCTCTCCTTTCTTTTCGCCTAAACGTCTACTACGGAACCAGAATTCAATATGGGTGTCGAAAGAAAGATTATCACTCGTGGTAACGGCTCTGACTCGCCTGCTGCGGGTGATAAGGTCTCCATCCACTACACGGGATGGATCTACGATGCTAAGAAGGCCAACAAGGGCTTCCAGGGCAAGCAGTAAGCCGGCTGACTGCCATACCCTAGAGCCATTTAGCTTATGCCTTGAATATTTTATATACTAATTATCTATGCCAACAGATTCGATAGTTCCAGAACCCCTGGACGTGGCGTTTTCAATGTTCAGATTGGCGTTGGACAGGTCATCAAAGGTATCCTATCCTCTTATTTTTGCATCTTAGTGGAATCATTCATATCTGCAATGGTTGAACCGAACCCCTTGCCTTGTCACATTAGATGCTAATACTATCTGTCTGGTTAGGTTGGGATGAGGGTGTCCTGCAGATGACCCTGGGAGAGAAGGCAACCTTGACCATTTCACCGTGAGTAAAGTCCACATGGTACAAGAGACAATTGGAGCACTACTAACATTATTTCTCAGGGACTACGGCTACGGTGACAAGTAAGTGAACACTAGACACACAGGCGAATACTACATACGCCGTATCATCCGGCAGCTGAGTGTTCTAACATTTTTCTACACAGGGCGGCTGGCAAGATTCCTGCAGGCTCTACTCTGCTATTGTAAGTCTCTGCAACTGGAGAATAATATCGGGGAACTAACTGTTTTGCAGCGAGGTCGAGCTTCTTAAAATCAACAACAAGAGCGCCTGAATAAGCAATCTAATGGAGCAGACTAGACAAGCATGACATTTTCAGCTACATCCACTGCCATATTGTCCACTTTGCGACTTTATTATACGAACTCAACCTTATTTGAATTGCGGTTCATTGTAGAATGTCAATACCTAGTAAAGCATATAGGTGATCGAGCCTAGTCAACCCTTGGAATGCTCGCCCTGTCAATCGAGTATATCTGCGGTATGTTAAACAATAAAAATCGTCAAAAGTCGTTAAGAGATGTATGTACAGGTTCATATGCTATACAGAATGATGGATCGACCACCTAGAGGCGGTGTTGAACAGGTGATTCAGGCACCAGCGTTGGCACTAAGACGCTATCGGTAGGCTCATCCCAGCGCAAGATACGAGCCATTTTGTTATATGAGTCGATACCACGGCGAGCGTGATCGGCGGGAACAAACGGATCGGTCTCGCCGAGGGTTCGGCTGAAGAGTTCAAGGGAAACCCAGCCGCGGAATCCGAGATCTTCGAAGAAGACACGAGCAATATCCACAATGGGCAGATAACCTCCACGCGACTCCTCGAGGGGAAATAGACGTGCATTTCGGGACCAGTTCATGCGGACCGGCTGCCCGGCAACATGGAAAGAATGCTTTTCATCCAACGGAGCGGAAAGACGCTCACCGTCAACAAGCTGGACATAGAAAATTTTGGCAGGATCGATGCTGGCAGTGCGTAGACGCTCCAACGAAGCAGCCAATTCCGCAGCCGCATTAGGTGTGCAACCTGAAGGGGCAGCAGGGTCGGCATATACACGACCGGCGATATTGAAGGAATCAAGACAAAGACCAAAGTTGCGACGGTCGACATCGCGAACCACTTCCCACGAGGCCTCCCAGGTATCAATATGATCACCCCAGCAGAGGGCCTCGTAGACAAACCGGAATCCAGCGCCGGCGCCCAAGTCAGCCAGACGTTGGAGGTCACGAACAATGACAGTGCGGTCGCCAGTAGTGCGAGCAGCACCGGTCTTTGGGTCTGGGCCTAGGAAGTTGGACGGAACCTGGATCATGTCTGTGCCCAGCGCCCGCGCTAGGGTGAACCATTTAGGGAGCTTCTCATTGATGAGCCGGTCTGACTCGGTGCGGTCGATGAGGCCCTCATACATGGAAAATGGCTGCAGACAGATAATGGTCAGGCCCAAGCGCTTGCACATCAGCCGTGTTGACCGTGCGGCTTCGTGGTGATCACCGTCAAATACCCGCTGCGCGTAGCAGTCTAGATCGTCGAAGAAGAGTTCAATACCCTTGAAGCCGTGGTCTGCGGCTTGCATCAGCTTGCCGGGTAGGTCGTGTACCCATGGCCGACCTAGGGACATCGAAGCGATACCGGGGAGGTTGAAAGCCATTTGAAAGTTATATGAATGTGGTCTGCTTTTCTATGTCGATATTATAACATTCAGAGGAGGTTTGGGTGGAGGCTTTCTATGTTTTTTAATAGAGTTTCCAGATGGAGAGATATTCAGGGTGAGAGAATGTCTTCAAGGTGGACAACCCACGATATTAGGGGTTTTCTAGGGTATCAAAAGTAGTAAAACGATTGCGACAAAACGTTATCCCCTGCAACCCTCCATGACTGAACGTTTTCCCTGGTCTGCTGTGATTCGTGTGTTGATGACGAGGCCGAACCTGATAAGAGGCAAATCACATGGCCGGGTAAACGCTACCCCTTTTTCGTTCTCCCGCCAGTTCCACTTCCTCTCCACGACGTACACGACCACTCCACAGTTCCCACATCGCGGAGTTTTGCTTCATTGGAAATGCTTTCTCCGTCCTTGGAAACAAAATAGCCGTAGGTACCCGGCAATGTCTTTTCCGTATCGGTCCAGACATATCCGGAGAATCGGGGCCGAATCGTCAGTCTTGCTCAAAGTCCGGGGCAATGACACACCTTCCACAACTAACAGGCATACGAAAGTCACCAGATTGAATTCTCCTCTTGAGCAATGCAAGTTGCAAGATCATTGAATTAATTCAATTCTTTCAGAACCAAAATTTGGATTTGACCTTGACCATAAAATCACTATGGCCGTCAAAGTTGCCATTATTGGCGCAGGCCTCATTGGCCCTCGTCACGCACAATCTGTAATCTTAAACCCCTCAACAGAGCTAATTGCTCTCGTTGACCCAGTGCCGACTGGCGAAGCAATTGCATCTAGTCTCAAAACCAACTACTACGCCTTCGTCGCCTCACTACTTGCATCTCCCCACCGGCCCGACGCAGCAATCGTCTGCACACCAAACCACATGCACGTCCCAGTCGCAAAGGAGCTCCTTGCAGGCGGGGTCCACGTCCTCCTCGAAAAGCCCGTGAGTGATACCCTGGAAACCGGCCGCTCCCTACTGGAGTTCGCGCAAGCTCCAGAGCGTGCCCACCTCAAGCTTCTCGTCGGTCATCACCGCCGCTTCAACCCCTACGTTCGAGCCACGAAGGCCGTCCTGGATGCTGGATCTCTCGGTCGCC